AATTACAGTGGAAAGGTTTAAATGCAGGATTTTCCCTTCCAATTATTTCAAAATTATAGCAAGATATAATTCACTTTAAAAGCTCCTGGAAGCTAGCAAATACAGATCCCTAGATTTCCATTTCCATTCCTCACAAGACAGCAGGAGCCTGACTGACTCTATTTGTAGTGTAATATAAATCTCTCCCTACATAGTTCTCCTCATGTCAAGGCATCCCATGGGGCTTTTACAGAAATAAACAACATGACATAGAAAAACATTTTAGTCATAAGTATAAAGGGTACAAGTAAAACAATTCCCGTTTTCAGTTTACTTTTTAGTGTCCTCTAGTTTCTCATGTGAGTTCCTAAAAGAAGAACAGCAATTGGAAGGCTTGTGTCCAGCCAACCTGTCATGGTGCACAGTGCATGAGCAAAGCTTCCTTCTCAGAATGATCTGGTACACTACAGTATAGTCAGATAAGCAGCTCTTGAAGGTGAGCTAGGTCCGTGCTGAGAAAGGACTTCATATGTTATAGTTGCTACTTTTGACATTGAATTGGAATTGAAAATATGGATTTTGCCAGAGAAGCCATCACTTACAGTCTAGAGGACAACACCACACAATGTAGCCTTAGTCATCACCTGCTTTTCTCTGGAGAAGCCACACATTGCTTCTTTTACTGAAGGCAACAACACCCGCAGAGTCCAGAAAATATGTTATCTATTGAGATACTTAATTAATTCATACTAAGAATCATTCCAAACGTAACGAAAGTGTATAGAAATCCATCATGTTTGATGGGTTTCTAATGTCTCTGGGTATAAAAGACAATTGTCAGGTGAGACGCTACTTCCCTTGGATTAAGGCAGAGGTTTCAACACCAAAGAGCTGTTCAGTGCCTTTGCTGGACATCTCTGCGTTCACAACTGAGAGTGTGGGGGGTATGTAAATTGCGTCATTTGGGGTTAACTTTCTTGAGGACGTTTTTTGTTTTCAAAACAATAAGAAAAACGGATCGACAAGAATATTTTTGTTTCTTCGATAAGTACATATTTTCCACAAATGAAAAAAAAAGTTTAACAACACCTTCAGTGAATGTAATTTGCACAACGCCATTCACTTCACCAGCTCCTGGGTGCGGAAGAATACAGTGTCGGTCTGTCGCCCCCGTGTCTCTCCTCTCGGAAGCCGCCGTGCTGCAGACGTGGGCACGAGACCAATTCCGTGCCCCCTCTCCGCGCTCTCAGGTCGACGTCATCATCACAATGACCTCACCACCTCACACGGTCCTAATTATATCGTCTGAGAAAATATGGTCGTTTTGAAGTTTGTTGCAAATCTAACGGTCGCTTTTCTTGGAACAAGAATTCCTGCCGGAAGATGTGAGGAGACTTTCATTTCTCTCATCCGATATGTGGCACAGGGTGACCTATAATCTCTCTGTCTGAGAAATGATTGTTCTGTTTAGCTCAAACTAATTGTAATTGAGCTGATCTGGTTACTACTGGTCGTGTAGCATGCATTCAGTTAATTACAGTATATACAATTTACTGTATATACAGAATACAGTATATACTATACCTGGAGTGAAAAAAAATGGTAACATGCAATTTACAAGCCTTCCATTTTAATTGTATTATTACAACATTGGGGTGCATTAACAATAGGCATAAGTATTACAGATTGACAGTATTCAGGAAATAATTGCTTGGCTGCCACAAAAGCGTGCACCAAATGGTGCAAAAGTGATTTCCCCCTTGGCTGTAACTAGGCCCGAGAACTCACGGCAGGCTAAAGGACTCTGCAATTCTGGGCTGTCATATCGTTCCGGTGAAGTTGCTCTGCACTTATCTGAGACTGTGCAGCTTCACCAAAGGGGACATCTCGTGCTCAGTCACTCATCCTGGCATGAACCCGTGACCTAGACATCACCTCCAGCGGCAATGTTCCAAAACGGATTTCTGACTTTATCGGTGAGGGCTGACGTGTTTTCCGTTCTTGGGTCTCTTTCCTCTGTTTTCCTCATTTTTGTTTTGCACAAGTTATGGTCGTTTTCTGCAATTTAAGAAAGCACAAAAAACACACGTTAATCCGAAATGGGCAGAAATTATAATACAGAGTCCACGGAGATCCAGCCCTGTCAAGTATGCCAAACCAGAATAAACAAAATAAAAAAACAATTCAGCATGTGGGCGCATTTCTGGCGACTATTCTGAGCAATATGACCAACGTTCTCATGCAAAATGATTACATACGTGTACAAAGGGCACGTCTACAAACTGGTTACTTTGTTTTGAGGGGGTGAGACGGACGAGGTGCTGGTGTTCACGAAAACTAAGACAAACAAAATAAACCTGAGGTTTAAGGTTTTCGAAGGACAACATCCAGAAGTTGGCTCAGCACCGCTGCGGTGTCGGGCTGGCGCGAGTGCGTGGTAGCGGGAGGGTGACGTGCGCCACAAACTCGGGCTCTGAGGGCTCTGATTGGAGTAGGACACGAGGTTCCGCCCACCTCTACACCTTATATACCCAATCAGGGCGCAGAGGGCAGTAGTGGAGAAGCGCGTGTTCCGCAGTCTTGTCTCTTTCTGTTAAGCATTGTGGTGGAGCGACAGCCTCAGTCTTCAACTCGCCACCCGCGCCATGGAGCAACCAAGTAGTTGACGTTTCCTTTAACCTTCTCTTTTTAAGCTTCTTCATCCCGATCATTGCGCTCTCTTTTTTTAAAGCGAGCAGCAGTCCGCTCCGGAGTCTTTTTTTTATTTTCGATTTTTAGCACTTCCAGGATTTCTGTGCGGAGATGAAGTACATCGTGGGCATTGGCGGGTGAGTCCGTGCTGTTCGTGAGTGTCCGGGTGCTGGAGGCCCCGTCGGGAAGTCCACACGTGGAGCGGGGGCGGAAGCTGGTGGTTCCACTCAGCCGCCTAAAACTTTCCATGTCGCAGGCTGGACGGAATAACAGTTGTGCCGCACGAAGTTTGTTGTACTTCTCGTGCTTTGACGCGTTTTTATCTGTGCATTTCGGGGATGTGACTTTTTTTTTTTAAAAAAAAAATCATCTTTATTGAAAATATAAACATAGCATAACGTTTTAAGTCTTCACAATCGCAGTTTCTCTTTTGTTGTACTCTGCCGTTTGCCGTTTCTCGTCTGAAACGTGCTTTGGTGGGGGAAGAACAAAAGGCCATAAAAGTACAGAATGCAACGCAGCTGTATGCTGTCAGTTAGGCTCAGTCTACAGTACTGACTCTGGGCGTTGCTTTATACCCCGACATGACGCCTAGGCCAGCTCACTGCATATACAGTACTTAAAAGAATAAAATGGCATTAATTTGCACATCTTCAGTAGATCTTATTGACGCTTCATCATTCCACTGTGTTGCTGTCCGATTTGTTTCATATTGGATCAAATATTAAATATGGGTTGAGTTGGTTTAGGTTAAAAATGACTTGAATTCCGCATGTAGCCTAATCGTCTCCCTACGTCCCTTTGTTTCAGGGTGACGAACGGTGGTAAAACCACGCTGACTGACAGATTGATGAAGAATCTGCCCAACTGCTGTGTTGTTCACCAGGATGACTTTTTCAAGGTCAGTTTGCACAGGATCTGGTGTAAAAGATAAGAGAGAGGAGGAACAAGAGAACACGTTCAATCATTTTTCTGTCAAGTATCCGAGTCTCACTTGCAGAACTTAGTGCTTCAGCCAGGACTCGCCCTTGAATTCACGGGTTAGTGTTCCGCCTTTAAAAACGGAACAAGGAACCGTCAGAAAAAATATTGCAGACGAGGAGAGTTTTGCATTAATATCACCCGCAGCCATTTTCAGGCGATAGGGAATTGAGCGTGGTTAAGCTGTATGACACTCCCCCTCACCTCACAGGAGTCTCTTAGACGAAAGTGTTGGGCAGAGATCGTGTTGAAATGGAGTGTGCGAACTGCACGCTTTCGGTTTTTCTGGTCGAGTCAGTCACACCTTGAGGACGGGTGTTCTTGTAGACTGTGCACAAGTGTACATCTGATCCATGTATGTTTCAGCCACAAGATCAGATTGAAGTTGGTGAAGATGGATTTAAGCAGTACGATGGTAAGCACCTGAGATCTCTTGTGACTCGGCACCAGGGTGGTTTAAAGAGTGGCGTATGTGCGCTTATCTTAAAAAAAAAAAAAAAAAACTCTTGCATGCTTCTCTGGCATTCTTTGATTCAATGTCATCTTTAAAAAGCACATGCCCCCCCCCGACTTGAACCGATCTTGCTTTAATCTTCTCATTTTTAAAACCATTATAGTGATCAGCGCGCTGGACATGGAGGCGATGATGAGCACGATCTACGCCTGGGTGGAGAACCCAGTGAAGTTCGAGCGATCGCACGGGGTCAACAACTCTCTGGATGCTAAAATCGTCCCGGAGTCGGAAAGCCAGGACGACGAAATTCACATCCTTATCGTCGAGGGCTTTCTGTTGTACACCTACGGGTCAGTACTGCCTGTTGGAAGCGGTGACTGTTGGCTATTTCCAGCTTCTGGGCGGGACATATTCTGCTGTTGACATCTAGGACTAACGCCTTCCTTTTCTCCCCCAGACCTTTGATCGATGTGTTTGACCAACGCTATTTTCTTTCCATTCCATATGAAGAATGCAAAAGGAGGAGGAGGTAGGTAACACAGGGGTTTTGGCCCCATTGTGATTGGAGGGTGTGCCGTTTGAATGAAAATGTTTTTGTCTGCATCCTCTTTGGGTTTCAATGTCAAACGTACTGACAGCCTCTGGTTTCACTTTGTGTTGTGCTATACAGAGTAATACTACTATATATATATATTTTTTTTTTTTCTCCCTTCCCTCCCCCCCGACAGTTCAAGGAACTACGCAGTGCCAGATCCACCAGGCCTGTTTGATGGCCATGTCTGGCCCATGTACATGAAACATAAAAACATGATGGAGGAAAACAAAGTTGATATAGGTAAGATCGTTCATTGATTTATTTATTTTTTGTGTGTTTTGTACTGTACAAAGGGGGGGGTAAAAAAATCTACTGAGACTTTTTCTTCTGCGCCAACAGTGCTCCTTGATGGATTACGGTCAAAGGCGGAGATCTATAACTTGGTCTATGGAGACATCCAGAACCAAATCCAAAAACTGCTGTAACAACAAAAGGTAAGCTATTGGTGGAAGTCGTCTGCCGGTGCAGATTCCCCTAATTAGTGTAGGTTTCCAGTGGAGTCCTTTACTGGTGGAGATATGTACGAAGGCCTTGATTGTTCTAGTGGTATACCTTAAAGGAACAGCTGGCTCAGACTTGACTTTTCAGATTTATTTTCATGAGTGGGGGAAATTGCCACGAGAAGCAGGACATGAGTAAGAACCAAATCTCTCCCCAGTTAGTGGGATTGCTCACTGGTAACTTACTGGTCTGAAAAGAATCTGGCCCAGATTCCCCCCCCGGTGAACACGAAGGGATTGGCCTTAGCGTGGCTCCGGTCTCACAGTAAAGGTGGTGAGGGTGTGAAGCAATGGAAAGGAATTATGACTGAAAACATTACATTTGTGCAAAGTAATGTTGCTACTTTAGTTTTGGAATGATTCTAAGATCAATCTTTTTGGTTTCAGGTCACCTGCTCTGCTGCGACTGAAAGCCTACTGTATCCAGGAAGACGCATGGCTTTTACATCTATACGTGTGGATCTGGCAGCTCATTTTATTTAAAGGAGTGTGTGTTTATATATAATGGTCAGCTAAGATTTTTAAATTAATTTTATTTATCCAGCAGCTTCCACGCTGGCTTTTAACCGTATAGCCCAAGGCTGTGTCCTGCATTGCAGGATGACATAGAACCAGCAGTTCTGACTGGTGTCAACAAGATGTACTTATCAATAAAAGTACTCCTCCAGAAAGCTTGTTTGGATATTCATTCATTTACATAGCTGAGAATAGTGCTTTGAAACTGTAGATTTCAAAAAAGGAAGTTTGAGTCAGGTCTTGCCTGTATTGAATTATTCATAAAAGAGAATTGGCATATTTAGACGGGTGTGTGTGAAGCATTGCAACTAAAAACACACACTGCCTCCGAACTCTGGATCTCTACTGAAAGGAAGTCATGCAAAACAAGCGCCCCCATGTCCATTCCAGTCCTGGCAATGAGAATGGAGAAGAACTGTCAATGAGTTATTTCCCATCATTCCAAGGGACCTGTCAATCCATGGTGAGGATCACAGCACACGAGGCCTGTCCTGCAACCTCAAGGGTGCAAAGTGAACTTCCTCTCTGAATGGGCCAGCAGACCAGGACGTGCACACACATACACACGGCTAGGCAAAGTGTCCGCCTACGTGTACTTGTGACATGGGAGGAAATAGAAGGCTCCCACATAACATCCCATATGATCATGCAAACGCCATACACAAGGCACCCAACAGCTGTGAGGCAGCAGTGCTAACTATGTGAATACGTACACTTGTTTTTGAAATCCGGTGTACTCTGAATCATCCTATAAAAATGTTAATATCATGGAATATACCCAGATCCAAGCTGTATTTTTCTGGGAGTCGCATGAATAAACAGAGATGGGTGTGGTCCTTATGTTTGGATAGATCATCTTTAGGAAAGAAGCCCAACCAAAGCAAGCTTGGCTCTGTATAAAGAGTGCTGGAAATCTTAAGCCTATGTTGGTGATTTATTGAATTTAAGGAAGCGCTGGGGCCCTGGCACAGTAATACACACATGGGTATTGAGGAGTAACAGGGAACCTCAGAGACTTACCAGCTGGAAAATGCCAATTGTTTACTGCTTTGGGTCGCTGACATCCTTAGATTAAATTTTGCAAAAGTCACCTCTCAATCAAGAAACTGAAGCCAGCATACAGGTAAACATCTCACTTTCTGGGCAGAGTGATGTGCAGCTTCCCACTAAACACGTTTAATTTGAACTCACACTGTTTGAGGTAGCAACAGCAGCTCTCAAGCCAAGACAAAAAAAGTTTAAATTTTTCTGTTTTAAGACACAGGCAGCATGGTGGCGGAGTGGTTAGCATTACTGCCTCACAACTGTGGGGCCCCTAGGTTCAATTCCAGACCTGGAGTGCCATCCGTGTGGAGTCTGTGTGTTCTCTGTGTTCAGGTGAGTTTCCTCCAGGTGCTCTGCTTTCTCCTACAGTCCGGGATCTATCCTGCCTTGCGCCAGTGCTTCCCAGAACAGGCTCTGGGCCACCATAACCCTGAATTAGATTTGCAGTTATTGGATGTGATGTTTTAGATGTATTTTAATAATTATTTGGGAGTTGGGAGGATTTTCTTTCTGAGCTAACTCCTTTTGAGAGCCTTGAAGTCTTTGGTGCAACCATCTTACATGTTGCCTACGTGTGGAAAGATCAGATTGGCATCTTTTTAGCTCCAACAAATCTTGACGTTCACGCAAATCCCAGCCTGTATCTTGCAGTCGTTTTTTCACGTCCATCTTTTTTAAGAATGATCAACTGACAGCACCAGTTTTTACTGTGTCCTCGTGACAATCTCATGCAGATGAAAACACCTGCCCATCAGGCTAGCATTGCAGCCCACACTCCTGGGGCACTTGAAATAGGCGACACACGTGACCGGTCCTGGTCACCAACACAGCAGCTCTTACCCACAACCCTTAACCCATTTATTTTTAAGAATTTGAAACATGGGGTCTTAGTCATTTTAATTATTTAACACATAAATCAGGAACTTGTGGCCTTGAATGTTATAGGATATTAACATTTCCAATTCCACTGATCTCAAAACTGCTCAATTGGACAAACTGCTGAAGTAGTTGAAAGGGGTTTGCTACTTTTGAAATTGATGAGTTTAGGATGACCACTGTACACTGTGTATTAGCAGAAGCACGGTATACCATTTACCAACATACACTACGCTTTTCATTTGGTTGATAAAGTTAATTTAGTAAAATTGTTTGTCTACGTTACACACAAACATAAACACCTATTGTAACAATTCCAGGCACAAAGTAATCAAGTCTTTAATAAATGTATAAAAAACAGAAATAAAACAATAATATAACAACACATCCCATAATATAACAACACATCCCATTAACCAGTCAAATGCATTCATATTGTTAAAATGACACAAAGCACTTCCAATTAATGTTGCATAGAAATAAAGGTCCATAATCACAAAATCAGAGCAATCACTAAAAAAATGCATTTCCAAAACCTATAGGGTCAAAAGAATCTGAGGATATATAGGCAGGGTCCTGCCCAAACAGATTGTCTTCACTAAAACAACACATCTGAAATGCGGCACTGGTCCTGGAGAGTCCCAGTCCAGTTAGTCGTGGAGATCACCTGTTCTTAAAGACTGGCAACACTTGTAAGGGTCAGTCAAGAGAACTGGGATCCTTGAAGGCTGAAGAGGTTCTCACTTGGAGTCGTAAATGATCTTTAAATTACTTAAGTTAACAAATCACCAGTTTAAGTCAGTGAAATGGAAACGTGCAGCGACTTTAGAAGTCGGTGATTTAACGGTGACCTACAGACCCTGCTGGGCCGAGGCTCTCCGGGACCAGGGCTGGAGGGCTGTAAGTGGTCACCTGGAGCTATGGCACAGTACTAGGTCAATCAGGCAGGAAGTCTAGAGCAGCGTCCCTCCTCCAGCTGTCGAATGGTTCTAGCAGGGTGAAGTTATGTTCCAGTAGAATCCAGACATATTGCATCCTGATGATTCACCGGTTTCAGAAGAAGCTTTTGACCATTTTGGCTGGAGAGGAGAAACACTGCTCTTTGCTAAAACAAACCTAACAAGCGTCTGACACAAGGAGCTGAGCAACATGCATGAAGGGTGCTTAAAGACTGAGCCCATGGAAGACACAGACTAGTTCTGAATGGCCTGACATCATTTTCATTTGACCCATTTAGAGTCCTGAATGTTTTGTCAAGCAATTTCAATGTATCCAGAACTAATTATTATGCAATGTTCTCCAAGTGGATCCACAAACAAACTCGACAGGCTTCTTTGTTTATTAATGCTTCTATTTTGTGTGCAGATTTGAAACAGTAAAATTACCTTTGAGAAGAAAGCCAAACAAATCAGAGCACGCAACCAGTGTTACAATTTCAACATGAAAGCATTATTTCAGTAAGGTAGGTAGGTATGTGGCTCTTAATCGAAATGAACGTCAGTATTCATTCTCATACTTGCACATTCTTTATGCTGACAGAAATCACTGAGGCATAGACACAGGTGAGTCTTCTATTAGATATTCACAAACTCATATGCAGTGTATAAACACTTAACACACATATGTTTACATCAGCAGACAAACACAGCAGTACCTGGTTCTTGGACCCTGTGCGACCCTGAGTCATACAGGCCAACGCATGTGGGCGTAATGATGGCTGATTACGGCCATGAGTTTGGAGTCTTGGAAAGCTGGTCAGTTCTTTACGTTATACAGTATTTATATATATTATACATTTCAAACAATTAAACATTTTTTAAAAATAAAAACAGAAAAAAGTACTTTTCCTCTCATCAGTAACATCTGATACTGACTGCCAGCAGTACTCTGTCCCCCCAAATCACTTGAATGCTCATTGTTGCTTTGCAGTTTAGCAATGTCACTAGCCTCACACATTTATTATGTCATCTTTAGCCTTGTTTTTCAATTTGTGCATGGCAAATTATGTTTGCCATTTGTGGTTAGAAACTAGGCTATTCTATTTTTTTTGTTTGTGATATATTTTGCTTTCATCCATACTGACTTACATTTGTTCGCACTCATACAGCAGAACAATCTAAGTGAATTTAAGCACAGGGGTAGATCAGCAGTAACCCATCTGGGAAATGGACCCACAAACTTCCACTTCTAAAACACCCGAACACTGCTTCACACTACTACCTGGTTTAAACGTTGCGTTACAGAAACTCAAATGATCCCCAACCCAGACAGAAGAGAAGAAGCTGAAGAAATCAGGACTGGTCACCTGCACGGACATTGGCTTTGTCAGGTGACCGCGACACACAGGAGAGAGACAGGAAGACGAAGCGCTCAGGTCAGCAGTGTGTCCCGTCTATTTCAGACCCAGGTGCATTATCTTCCTGTACGGGCCTGGTCCTCCCCACAGTCCCCTGGGAAAAGCACACACACGAATGAGGACAGCAGCACCCGCAGTCTTGATTGGGGCAATGCACGGCGTGGTATAAGAAGATAACACCTCGCATTTACACCAGAAATACAATTACTGGTTAATAACTCAAGAAGATATTTACTCATGTACATTTTTACCCATTTATATAGCTGGATATTTTCCTGGTGAAGAGTCGTGTACAGGACTAAAGAAATGAAGAGATCTTAACACTGAGGCTGGGAGCTTTGAGTCTCTGCTGTGGACACTTGAGAAGCTGTCTCAGTTACCTCAGTCATGCCAACTGTACGAATAGGCATCCGCACTGCTGGCACCACCTTACAATGGACTAGTGTCCCATCCAGTGGGGCGTCTTGAGCTCCTAGTACACATGACACTACAGAAGCTTGGTTTAGCTCCTACCTGTGAAGTCTCTGGGCTCGAGGATGGATTTAACCTTATTTGAATGTGGTAAATTGCACGTGGTTCTAATAATATATTTACTTTTGTTATAGATCGTATGGCCAAATAAATCCAAAAGCCTTTTTTCCTTAATTTCTACATCCTTAGTCAACTCACTTCAGAAGGCCGTGCCAGTACAGATGTGGCATCACATCTGCCTTCATGTAGTACATGGTTCTCCTCTCTTTGCTTTGGTCGATGGGGAATGTTTCCAGTGGCTGCCCATTGTAGTCAAACTCCGCCAGGATCACGGTGTTGTAGCTTGTGACCAGGGGACATGATGTATAGCCATCATACTGCATGCCAAACAAGAAGCAATGACAAATAGGTTAAATTTGAAATTGCCAATATACATTCATTTAAATGACACATTGTTCTTCAAAATGTGATTAGTCCTGAAACAACATGGCTCCGGAAAAATGCACGTACCGTAGCACTGAAAGAAGTGCTAGAAGTGTAATTTCTTAAAAGTGCAGGAATGTAGATTTTATATTTCCAACCTTTTAAAGGACCTGCAAATTTTTTAAAGTCAGAATTTTGACATTAACACAAAAAGGGTGTAAAAGCCACAGAGAATTAAAGACAGGAAATAACTGAACTGTGTGGACAAAATCAAATTCATTTTTAATTCTCTTTCCTGGAGACAGCAGGAGCACACACTGCCCACCTTACCCTTTTGTTAGGTTTTTCATTCTTCATCACCTTTGAGATCGTTCTGTCTAGAACAGCAGACTGGGCAGCTGGAAGAGAAACACAATTCTTTCCATTCCCGGCCTTTTTTTACGCTTCGTTTTCTTGGTTTTACTTGTCTTACCCTATTTCCTGAACAGGGATAGACAAGGCAACACTGTGGTCTCATGTTCTTACTTAACGCTCCTTACGTGGGACGTGTTTTGAATTAAATTTAAAGTTACAAAAGGCATACCCAACTCAAGCCAGATATCCCCCTCATAGTCAGACAGACGGCCGGCCACAATCTGACCCACTGTGACAAGAGTCATCCTTTGAAATTACACAGCACATTTCCTGCGGCTACCAGCACCCTAGACTTTAACTATTAATAAACCACATAATAAATAAGGCTATAAAAATCCTACAGTCATGACCAAGCAGATTTCAGTACATTAAATGTATTTGTAAACATCATATCGTGGATATTAAAGTGCTTCACCAGGCTCCTGATTATTTTACATTTCTGTTACTGCATCAGTCTACTGGGTTGTTTGCCAGTTCACGATACAGTATTACTCCTGACTCAGACAGGGCACACTATGAATCTGGAGAGAGCTCTAATGTCTGCTGGGTTGAGCTTATTGCAATTCTATCCTCGTGTGTGAGCAAATTCCTGTAGCCCTTTTTAGCCATGCAGTCTGCTTATGCAGGTCGGTGCACTTGATCGCAACTTCCTTCTCAACCATTCCAACTTCTGCTTTGATTAAAAAAAATATTTTTTTATACCCTTCTATTTTATTACTGCGACACGAAGAGCTCCCTGGAAAACAGAATCAAAATTAAACTGAAACGTGAACTTTGTTGCTTTTTGTTTTTGCCTTTACACCAACGAGGGAATAATCTTTTCCATTGGTCATTCCTTTTGAATTTAGAAGCTAGGAAAAGTTCTGTTCTGGAAGAGTGGGGCACTGGGAAGCCACACAGAGAGTCTGTGACTCAGACTGGAACACAGGACTCACTGTTTTGGAATGACCGAGGGGGAACGTGGGAGGAATGTCTGCCTCTCACTACAAACGATTTACACTGCAGGCGAACACGGGAGCTGTCAGCACTCCTTTCCTCAGACCCTAACAGTGAAACCGTGCTGCACTTCATGCTCAGGGACCTACCACAGGGTCATCTGGAGCATCTCAGCTATGAAACTGACCACTCCACCTGAAATATTACCTGTGATCCTCAGTCTCTTTTAAGTCAGCCTTTTCAAAACCTACCCTGTCATCAATATTGAAAAGCAATCTTTTGTTTTCTTACTCCTATCACACACTCGTGGATGCATGAGAGTGTTTTACGACTAGACGTTATCTGGTTCTGCATCCAGAAAGTTAGGTCCATCCAGATGTCAACATCCATCTCTGGGCTCAGGAGGCTGGCCGAGAGCCCGGCCTGGTCTTTCGCTGAATTCGGCAAGACGTTTCCAAGCTTACCTACTGCAGCTGCCGTCTTTGATGTCGGGAGATTAGTACAGTCTCCAATCCCAAACACGTTGGGATATTTCTTGTGCTGCAGCATGTCCTTGTCGACATCAAGCCACCCTCCTTCGTCTGCCAGGGGGCTGCCCTTCAGAACTTCAGGGGGCCCCATTGGAGGTGTAACATGGAGCATTTCATACTGGAAAAAACAAAAAGTTCATCATCATTTTTGGAAAAGGGTTAAACTATCTGCATGAAAAAGTAAAACACAGGAGGTTACAGACAAGGAGAGAAGAGATTTCTCTGAATTCAACAGCGTATGTGACAGATCTCCTGGAATCTTGACTTTTTTGATTCCATAGACTTGATCTGAACTTTGCTGCCACCACCCAGCAAACTATCAGCCTTACGTAAAGTTACGAAAAGGTAATTTTCCCTTTACTTCCTGTAGTCTTAACTCCTGCTGCTGTAGCCCTCAATAAAGTTACGCGGTGTCCCATGTAAACACACCCTTCTCTCACAGAGGACCTCAGATTTCAGGCCGGATGTTTTGTAGCGCTCGGCACACATGGAGGGCACTGAAGAGAACAGCTGCCCGAACTGAAAACCGCCAGCTCGCGGGCTACTGGGATGGATGTTGACATGCAGGCAAACATCTGTTTCTGAAAACAAAATGACCGCGCAGACTCTCTTGCAAAGACAACAAGCTGCACGTTTTTTTCTCTTGTTATGCAGTAACATATTAAGAAAACAAGGGCAGGGCTAACCGGGGTTTGAGATCTTTCTTCTTCTTGAAACCACAGTTTCCTGGCACAACAGCGGAGCTCTGGTATTGCTCTCGGCTGGGCTTAGCTTCTTTACTATATTAGAATACCTTGGGAGTTGCCTGCAGATCCTGGTTTTATTATTTTCATCTGTCTTTTATTGGAAAATGTAAATTCCATGGGCATAAGCCACATCCTTAAGGCATGGTAACCTCAGGTGAATGCAGAATGGCTACAAAGGAGAGGAGGCTATTTGGCCCATCTAAACTTTTTGGTAGTAAGCAGCTCATCGATCAAAGAATCTCACCCAACCATTTTTTCCCCAAAAGCCGGGGCATCAGCTTATTGCTGACCTCACAACCCTCTGTGTGAAGAAGCGTTTCCTCTTCTCAGTTTCAAACGATCTTCCACTTGTGTCCTCTAGTGCGTGTCTGTGTGTTTATTTTGATCAAGTCCACCAGGATGACTCTGTCAGTGCTTGTTTGATATAAGTATTTAAAATACTTGTATCAAATCCTTGCAGTCGTCTCTGTTCAAGATGAGAAAGGGTCTTTCTGCGTAATGAGCTTATGTTGTAATATGGAGACCAAATTAAATTAATAAAGGGAATAATCATATAATAATATTAAATAAGGTCTTACTTTGTACAATTTTAACTCCCCTTAATTTATTATTTGAACTACACATCTGTATGTTCCATTTTACAGGACTGAGAGTTTTCTATTCTGTGGCAATGGTGCATGTTTCCGATACCTGCATGTATGTTTTTTTCATTTGTCTGCAAGGTGCTGGCCTTGTCTTGAATGCCATCTACAACTTCTCTTTTATCCTCTTATTTTGGTATCATCTGTAAATGCGATTGTCTGAATATGCCAGGATCTTTTCTGACATGAATTAGGGAGATCGGTCATCCTGCTACATCCTGCCCAGTGCAAATCCACTAATTATACCACCCCAACAGGTGCTTTAACCCCTTAAATGTACCCTGGTTTCAATCCATTAACCAGTTCTAAATCCAAACACGAACATTTCCCAAGATACCCACCACCTATAATTTGAGAATTACTTTTTAGGAGGATCTTTTGTTCCTTCTGAAAATCCAAATCTAGTATATCATATGCTCTGTGTGTGTTCTTTTACTGTTTTTGCTTGTTAAAAGAATGTACCAAGTTAAAAAATAATGTATCACTTGTCCATTTAAACATTAAATTACACTTAATGTTGTGTTACACATACATACATGTATGTATCTATGTTATGATACAACTTAGATTTGCATATTTGAACTGTTGGAAGTCATGAAAGGCCAGCATAATACTCTACATATTCTGCTACATCGGAAAAGGAAGAACTGCAGTACAAGGTACCAAATTTCTTCTGCAAGCTTATGCCACTGTATCATAACTTTATCTAATAAGTGATTAGGCATTCAGATTGCAAATTACTGTAACTTCCAGTTTACGAACAGCAGATCTCTCGTCCCTTTTGTCAAACAGCCACATTGCACAAAACAACACCCTGTCTTTTGTTTCATTACTTTTCTAGTTTCATGGTGGTGTAACGGCATATACAGTAACTTATCAAGTCATGTTCATGTAACTAAGGTAAGAGGGGAAAACAGCTAAGAAGGGACTAAAATAGTAACCTGGGGACAGAAATCATATCCTGTTTTGATGTGCTAAAACATTATTTTGGCCAAAGACCTTCTTCTGTTCCAGTCCGAGCCTCAGTGCAGTTTCTCCTTCGCCATGATGATTCATTATTTACTTAGACAGGAAGACAGCTCCATCCTCCTCAGCTTGTTGCTAAATAACTGTGGAAATGGTTAGCGTCTTTAATGAATGGTTATGTTTTCCATTTACAGCCAGAATCTAAATGAAGAGACAGGTTTACACGAAGCCAAAGGGATAACATGGTTTCACTGACCTCTAAAACCACAGTTTCTCCGGGGTTGTCTAGTTTTTCAAACACCGCTTCCTTTTTGTCCGCCCTGACCTCAATGAGGTTATGTCTGAGGTTCACATTCAGATCCCGAGTCTTCACAATATCCCACAAGGCATCAGCGTATTTCTTTACCCCAAACAGCACAGGCAGGGAAGTATTGTAAATGATGTTGGCTTTGGGTCGTTTTCCTGTCTGTAGTAAAGTTAAAAACAGAAATGTTGGGCAGGTCACACGGGCCAGAAACAGCTGCAAAGCAGCTGCACAGTCAGTAAGTCTAAACCCACCTGTGGCTTCAGGTGCTGTCTGCAGTCTCTGACAGACTATTTACAGTAAAAGGCTACTGTAACGCAAGGTCTCGTTAAGTACAGTATCATATTTAGGTATTATATACACAATATATTGGACATTGCGCACTGGGATTGTTTTATTTGTTAACATGGACAACATGCTGGTAAACATCTAGTAAAACTTATAATTAATTCCATTATATAGTGCATTTCAAAAAGAGAGTTCTGACTGCACGTGCACATAGAGGAATTTAACCAGGACACCAGAGTTTACACCCATTCTCTTATGCAGCATGGGATCTTTAAGTTTAACTCCCATATTACTGTTGTCCCTGGCCACCGTACTGGGGCAGCGGTTTTGAAATCCTATTGCAGAGAGCAAAGTGCCACCTACTGTTCAACAACACCACCTACAGCAGCGACCTGGTTTTCATTTTGCTCCATTTAAGATAAGATAAGATCACTTTATTGGCCATTTACAATTTGCATTAGGAATTTGTCTTTTCGCATACCCCACCTTGCTCACCTTGCACAGACAGGGGGAGAAGCTAGGGGTCAGAGCGCAGGGTCAGCCATTTATACGGCACCCCTGGAGCAGATGGCGTTAAGGGCCTTGCTCAGGGGCCCAGAGGATTCCTCTGCCAACTGCGGGATTTGAACCGGCAACCTTCCAGCCACAGGTGCACATCCTTAGCCACAGAGCTACTGCCACACCACTTATGTACATTAAAGACACAGTCCAAAAACACAGGGGTGTTCCCAGGACCCTTACAGAGCCTATACTTAGCAACAGTTACATATTACAGGTAACCAGCAGAAGAACTCTCATACAAAATACCACTGAAGAAAACAGATTTCTTCCAATTCGCGCATGCAAAGAAAACTGAAGTACATTACATAGAAATTAAAACAAAGGCAGAAAAAAAAACCTATCCACATTATGACCTGTAGGTTCTCAACCATTAGCCTAAAAGAGTGGAATGAACTACAGTACATATGCGCCTATTACATTCCAGGTTTGTTGTAAGAAATACGCTGGGGCTACTAGCAGGCGTAGAGACTGCAGCAGAGAGCAGTCAAGGGCTGTGATCTGATGTCCCATCAGTTGGACAAGAACACAAGTCAGGACTTTGAGAACAGTCAAGCTCAGTCCCGTCTTCTCGAACCCTCGCTCACCTTGCGGAAATAGGCGTCGGAGAGGTACATGATCTTCTGCGGGGCCCCGGCACACTTGACCGGGCTGTTGGGGAAGGTGAAGATGGCGTTGCCCTCCCTGAAGTCCTGCAGGGCCCTCCAGGTCTTCTCCACTTTGTCCACGGAGTAGTTGGAGCCAATCCTGGAGTGCTCAAACCCCTCGGGCAAGCCCTTGATCTGCTCTGACCAGAGCAAAGCGAAAACCACAGGGTGGTCATCGATCAGGAACCCCGTGCCAGCCCGAGCCCTTCAGGCGGTCAAGCCAGCGAAGCAAATCAGACTCATCAGTAGCGCCAGATACTCACTGAGGGGGAGGCTGAACTTCCACAGAACTGGGCTGTGCGCAGGATTACTTATCACTGCCGGAGCTCATGAAGGACTGTGCAACAACTATCAAGGCAAATTCAAACCAAAAGCTGTTCCTCCATGGACTGAATAAATGAGCTAGGAATATATTTAGCATCAATGGAGTTTCTTGCATACTGTAATGTGATACCTACTACCTTAAAAAAAAAAGCTTCCCTTTTAAAGAAACAAATCCTCAAATAAAGAGTCATTGCTTGTTTACTCATAGCAGACGTACATTAACCTGAAACGATGGGTTGAGTGGTTAAGCCTGATCCGGATAAGCTGTTAAAAACATACCAAGAACTCACAACAGCAATCTACTGTAAATTGACACAAAGGTCATTCCACTGATACCAGGATGTCTATAATAATATTTGTAATACCATCACCTTTTTATTCATAAGCACTTTTCAAAAAACGTCAGTACAGTGTACATCTGCACTACGCGGCATCGGGTTGAGAAGTGAGCTATTCCTTTGCCAACCGACACAAGGAGGATGTTATCGCTTCTGCATCAGTCGACTTTATATATTATACTGTGGCATGAAAATGTTTTTCTAGAAAATGCTCAAGTGCGTGTTAGAGAAACAAATACTAACAACGAAAGATGCGTCTTTCAGTGTATTCAGAAAGTTGTCAGAATTTGTCTGAGACAAGAACTGTGCTGCCACCTAGCGTTCATTTGTCAACACTACACTTTGAGCAGACTGCAGAGGACCCATCTTATACTGGCCAAGTTCAGAGCACTTGCGAATAAATTGTATTTACACAGCTTTAATTTCCTGCTTAGCAGATGTGCTCTTTTATATATCTGCAGAAATACAACCCCTGCAGCAATATAATTACGATCTGGTTCAAAAGTCACATCTTCACCAAACACACATGCCAAGCAACAATTCCGTATTGCATCAGACAGTAACATTAAACAGTGGAAAATCACAAAGGACATGAGATGAGGCATATGGAACCTTAATCTTATCTTTTCCTTTACACAATAGATGTCAGAGGTCCTTTAATCTGTACCTGAATTACAATAAGAGACCTTTATAATGAAGGGGAGCTGGTTTGAAAAAGCAACAGACCAAAAAAAGAATCATTTAGGCCAGCCAAGCCTTGTATTAAACATCATGTCTTTCCAATGCACATCTCAAACTACTGGGTAAAGGTTGCCGAATTCCTCCTTATCGCATGTCCAACATTCGCCTATTTTCTATATTCTATCAGATTCAACTATAAGAGCACAGCAGGTAGTGGATAAAAAAAAACACAGAAACCTGTGTAAAGTCACTTAATAAGGTGTTGGGCTCCCACTTGTGGCCAGATCAGCCTGTACGCACTGTGGCCAACGGCATCGAGAATTCGAGAACGGATGTGGCGCCCGTTCCTCCACCTGAAAGTCTTAGAATATCTCACAAAACCCTCAGATCTGGTAACAGAGAAGGCCTAGACAAACAGATACCAGTAATAATAATAATTGCTTAGACTTATATAGCCCTTTTCTGGACACTCCACTCAAAGTGCTTTACAGGTAATGGGGATCCCCTCCACCACCACCAATGTGCAGCATCCACCTGGATGATGCGACGGCAGCTATAGTGCGCCAGAACGCTCACCACACATCAGCTATCAGTGGGGAGGAGAGCAGAGTAATGAAGCCAATTCATAGACGGGGATTATTAGGAGGCCATGATTGGTAAGGGCCAATGGGAAATCTGGCCAGGATGCCAGGGTAATCCCTGTACTTTTTTCGAGAAACGCCCTGGGATTTTTGATGACCACAGAGAGTCAGAACCTCAGTCAGTTTTACGTTTCATCTGAAGGACGACGACTATCTACAGTATATCGTCCCCATCACTATACTGGGGTATTAGGACCCACATAGACTGCTGGGTGAGCGCCCCCTACTGGCCCCACTAAAACCTCTTCCAGCAGCAACCTTAGCTTTCCAGGAGGTCTCCCATCCAGGTACTGGCCAGTACTCACAGCTCCTGAGCTTCAGGAGCTTATGTTTGGGCCTGCTCAGCACTCAGATGAGAGACCCCAAAGGCTGAGGTTTTCAGTTCTGACTCTGATCACTGTATCATCTGGTTTTAGCTTAATGACAGGCAAATCAGTTTCTATTTTAGGTGTTTTTCATTTTCTTTCAGCTCTTAAAAGGTAAAAAAAAAAGTTTCCCGGGATTAGTAATTAGCAGAAAGCCAATGCGAATACCTGCTCTTTGAGAACTCCCTATTTTGGGGGGGTGTCAGTTGAAATGCAACTAACTGGACAAACAAGCACTGTCAACAAACAACACAGAGGTAATCAATTAAATCCCATTCATACCTGAACCCACCACCCTGAAGTACACACTGCACTCATGCTTAGCTGCCATTAATACACATTATAAAACATTGTGTTTTCTAACTAATTCTTCCTGGTTTGATGTACCGCTGCTAACAAGAGCAACATAGACAGTACCTTTTCATAATGCAGCTGGAGTCCAAGAGCCACAATCATATACTGATACGATATCTGGAAGAGAGAAAACACAAACATTTAAACCACTCGTGACAGAAGGAATAAAAATCACAAACACCCCTCATCCACAAACATTCATCCACAATGGAGCGTGCCGTCCCACTACGGACCAGTCTGTCTAAATCGTGCTGCTCCATTGTTCCAGTTGCCTGTGGAAAGACTCCCTTCCAGGTGCAAACAGACAAAAAATAAGCTGAAAGGTGAAAAACAGAAATGAAAGGTCACAGTCCAGCCAGCCCTGGAGCTGCCTTCAGACTGAGCTACTGCACTGTAAATATTGTGAACAACACCTGAGCTGGGCAATAATAACAGAACAACATCAACAGCACTGCTGCTGCAAAAGCCTTAGCCTCCATGTTCCCGCTTACTGAACATGCCTGGTCATGTTTCTCGCAGGTTCATTCACACTGCCCCCTTTAATTAAGCTGTGCCTGATTAGTTCAATGCAAACATGCAGCCAAGACTGTCATTTGGTTCCTTGTAGGTTCTACTTAACTACATGGTAAGGAGAGTGCAAATAGCAAAAAGTGCACCAGTTTAAATGTTTACTATCACCTGTCATTAAGAGTTACAATCCTGATTTAGGCAAGACATCAAACACTGTTGCAGTGTGGTACTGCGTTAAAACCACTAAATTCAGGCAAGGGTAAGTCAACCTTCTACTGCTCTTGTACCTTCATCATTCTGACCTGTTTAAAAATAAAACAATCTTTTCTTTCATTATACCCTCCCTATTTCTGCAATAGCCAGTGTTTGTTTTTCATGTTTTGGCTCATGATTACAAGTCATGGGAGAATAAGGACGTGTGGCTGGACTCCACAGCAGGCAGACCGCCAGCCTGCAAGAGCCCCGGAGGTCACAAGGGGGCGCTGTGTCGCTAGGAGCTGAGAGAGTCCCTGCTGAGTGACCCCACTCTCCCCCGGACACAGCGCTCAGACGACTGCTTGGGGGAATCTCAGTCCCAGTCGGCTAGTGACATGACCCAGACTCGAACCCGCAACCTCAGGGGACCAAGCGCTGGGGTGGAGCAACTGGACCACTTTGGTCCACATTCTGCACTCCGGACTGCGAGGAGCGGAAAAGAAAACGCTTCCGTCTCGGAAGGAGGGGGTACCTCTTTGCCGTCGTCAGTGCGGATGCGGTTCTGGTCGGGGCTGAACTCCTGCACTCGGGACTTGATCCACTTCACCCCCGAGGGCACCACGCTGGCAGTGGACCGCCGCGAGGACCCGATGCTTTTCGCTCCAGCGCCAGCCAGAGTCCAGAGCGGCTGGTAGTAATGATTCTACAAGCACAGGAGGTGTTCATGAACAAACAGAGAGCTGGAAACAATCACACATCTGGCAAAAAGACCTTCAAACAATAATCCACCACCAGCCCTGATACCAGCTTCAGGGAGTCATTTATCTCCCATCAGAGGCTAAACATCAGCTCCGTCTTCAATCCTAGAGGATGCAAAGAGCAGGGCCGAAAATTCCCCAAGATAAAGGGACACACATTGAAGCTTATGACCCAGATGGACTTGTGTTGTGTTCTATCTGTAAAAGTACTACCTGACTTTTTGCCAGGTCATGCATGGAAACGCTGTGTATATATATATAACTGCAAAACATTTCATCTCCTGTGAAGGTGTGAGAGTTAACACACAAACCTACACCAGGAGTCCTACCACGTGAACAGAGCTAACTGGGCGCCCCTGTCCTTGTCCCTGTAGTGAGCGGCCCACAGAGGTGCTCAAGCCTTCCCACGAACCTCGATTTTGCTTGCAATTGGCTCATTATGGCTTCACTGTGGACAGCGTGCAGATGTTTTTCTCGTGTTTTGAGAGGGGCCAAAAATAGAGAAGATCTTCAGATTAGCGAGAGATCCAGTATTCTTAACAGCTAGACTCCCTGTCTCATGTGACTGTAATGAAGCTCATTAGCTGCCCCTGCTGTCGTTATTAGTCTCCTACACCGCCGCTGTGATGATCACTGAATTAGTTCCCCTGAGATAGCCCCCCTAGCAGTATCACACTGTCCCAGTGACAAAGCAGCAATGCTCCTACCTCACTAGGCTCAATGACGGCCACATTCTGTGCCCCGACCTTCCTCTTCATGCGAGCGCTCATGGTGATTCCTCCACTCCCTCCTCCCACCACCAGCACTTTGTAGTGCTCGCTGGCGGGGGAGCTGCTGGGCCCGTGCAGCTGGCGCACACTCACACTGTGCCTCCGCAGGCCGGGCGGCACACGCAGA